TCGTGGAGTAGAGCCGGACTGGGCTGTTTAAGGGTCACCTACTGAGGTCACGAAGCCCTTTGTGCCCGTCATGTTAGGCATGGCTAACTCCTGTTGAAAACGAGAGGGGGAGGCTCTGCAGCCACTGGGCTAACCGCAGAGGTTCGGGATGGAGGTGGGGGTGGGGTGTGTGTGCTTGGATGTTTGGAGGCCCTGGGAGGTGGGGCCGGGGTCTTGCAGGAGGGAGTGGCGGGGGGGGTTAGGAGGGAGAGGGTGGCTGTGGGCCAGCTGGTCCTGGCCCCGGATGCTTATGAGTTCAGCAGAAGGGGAGCTACAGTGGCTCAGTTGTGAAGAAGGACTGGGGTACACTCTGAAATCTTGTTTCCCCAGCACCTTACAGCGGCTCAGCCACAAGGTTAACTGACTCGTGCCTGATAGACAGCCTGTCTTCTCCATCCCAAACTGCATCCCGCTTCCCCTAACCTCCCCCATAGACTGTCACTTAAGATTTTATCTTTCTCCCCAGTGCTTGTCCCTGACCTGGTGTGACTTGTCGCCCCTTAGTCATAGTCTGTTCCCCAATAGAAAACAACGGCGGCAGAGACGGGGGCGGGGTTTGTCCCTTGCCTTTCTCTGCAAAGCTTTGCACTGCGCCTGATACACAGCAGGTGCTCAGTAAATGCTTGCCGATTGAATCCAGCAAACCCTTTCCTTTAGAATATTCGGGGACCAAAGGGAGTGAACAACCCTCCCACATGGTCTAATTAAGTAAACCTAACTGAAATCACCGGGTCGTCCAAAAACCAAAAGATGTGAAGTGGGGGCGGGGGGGGGACGACATGACTAGGTGGGAAGACAGGATTGGGCAGCACTGGGAGGGGCCAAAGAAAGAGTAATGGGTGGCGGTGAATATGATCAAAATACTTTAGCTAGCTTCGTTGAATGCCATAACAGAACTCCTTATATAAATTAATATAGCTAGTTAGAAGTAAGACAGAGAAGAATATTCCTGGGTAAAGAAAGCTTGTAAGTCTCAATCTGTGGCTAAGAAGGGCCTGGATTTGGTCAAGGAGAGGTGGAAAGTCTCTCCAAATTGAGCACTAACGGGGATGCAAGCGTATTTTGTATCCTAAATTATGGGCCACATGAGACCAGCTGCCCCTCACATTTCCTCCTTGGTAAGACATTTTCTATAATATGGGGGCATTGTGGCAGCAGAAAGGCTTCTTGGCTGAGTATGAAACAGAACCCAGGAACCCCCATTGTCGCAAGTGGGATGTCTCATGATGCCACATGCTAGTGACTGACGATGATACATCCTTCGGGGGGGGGAGGGTCAAGAACCTGGCAGGCTGTCTGGGGCCTTTCTCTCACAAGGAAATTACAGCCCACACTTAGTGCTCACTCTGCCAGGCACGATGCGTTAGATATTTCCTACGTCATTTGCCGAGTGGGCTTATGAGTAACAGTGACTATTTTGAGTGTTCACAGTGTACTCGTCAGGTAGTGTTAATACCATGCCTCATTTAACCCTCACCGGACTCCTCCTATGTAAGACAGTCTCACCATCATCCTATGTCTCCCACTTTCACCTGAGCTGAGCAATTGTTCAGGGTCAGAGGGATCAGTAAGTAGGGGAGCTGGGATTTGGGGGTGGGAAGCTATGTGGGGACCTGGTGGAGTGACAGAAACTTGCTCCTTACTCCACGGGTCCCAGCAGCTGTAACACAGCAGATCTACAGCTCGTAGACCCCTGTTTTAGATTTTAAACATATCCCAGCTACATCTTTTTCTGGAGGAATTGCTGCCCCTGTGAGTGGGCGTCTCTGCCTGTCCACTGTCATCAGCCGGGGCTGCCAGTCTTTAAATCATATCCTTGTGAAACTGGCTGCCACTTTATTTTAAGTGAATCAGGAGAACATTCCATTGTGACTTGTCTTGAAACCGTCCGTAAATCCGAGAAGGGTTTTATAACCATCACATCATTTTTGTGTTTTGTTAAGTCTGGAACTCTGCCTGTTGGATTTTTCTTGGGAGAGGGAAACACATGATTCAAGGGGGAACCTTAACCCTTTAATTCACGGAAGCCAGTGTTTTCATTCCTAGGGGTTCAGACTGAACTGGTGACTGAAAGAGAAATGAGCTTTAAACACAAACTTGTTTTCTTGTGGAGGCAAACAGCATCTAATTTGGTACCCAGTAAAACTGCTTTTTTATGGTAAGGGCGGAAAAGGATGGTGCAGGCACAAAGTATGGAGCCTTTAGATAAAGGGAGGCTATCTCATCTCAGGATCGACATGTCATCCATTGTGAATGGTTTACATTCATTTCCCCTTCAGGTGGACTTGACAATGCTTTGTGGAAGCGTTCCTAGGTTGGGGGAAAGTAAACAAAACAAAACAAGCAACACACACACACACACACACACACACACACACACACACACACACACACACACACACCCATCCACCAGCTTTTTTTTCTCTTTCCAGTCTACCAAGCTCTCAGCACTGTCTTAGTGGAGATATAGTGCCTCCTAGTGGTGAGATGAGGCATTGCAAGTATTTTTTTTCTTGGTTGGTCAACAAATATTGAGAGCTGACTGTGTATTAAGGTTTATATTAAGTATGCACAGATAACTGAAAGCTTCTTTAAGAAAAGCTCAGATGGTTGGACTAGACAAGGGTGTGATATCCTCTATCCGCAGTACTACCCGGTGAGAACAAGAGTTCTAGCCAGATCAGGAGGAATGGGGCTCAAGGAATAAAGATTTCCTTGAGGGGCAAAAGAAATAGTTCAGTTTTTAAAAAAGGCAATGCTTGCTTGCTGCCTTTTCTTTTATTTAATGTAATTCTAGATTTATTGTAGACAATTTAGAAATACAACTATGATTTTAAAAATCATTCCACCATACCATCTTCCCAGACACTCTGTTGTGTGTGCATAACTGAACTTACAACAAAAGGTCTCTTGTTTCATGATCTTCATTAAATCACTTAGTATATTTTGAAATGTTTCTTGTGACTAAATGCACAGACACAACATTATTACTCCTTTTAAAAACAGTCTTTGGTAATTTACCCACTTTAATTTTTTTCATATGGGTTAAAATTCCATTGTGTTTAGTTTGTGAGAGAGATTTATTCGGGGGGCGAGTTTGTACCCCTATAGCATTAAATTGAATCTTCTTGACTAGATTGTAGTAGATCATTTAAATCTGCCTCTGCCTCCAGGGTACTGGAATTAAAGATGCGTGCCACAATTCCTAACCACTACTTTTAGTTTGTATATGAGCATTTTACTGAAAAGCCTAACCTTTCTATTTTATAGTGATTAATAAATTGTTCTGGTATTCATGGTCCCCCTTCCTATTCTGTGCCCTTGAACAGTTTGCTGATCCTGTTGGCTATACCACACTTCCTTATTGCAACAGTGCTGTGGGATGCCCTTCTGTATGTTGTGAATAGTATTGCTTTTACTGGTTGATAAATAAAGCTGATTTGGCCAATGGCCAGGCAGAATTGAGCCGGGCAAGAAATCCAAACAAGATATGGAGAGAAAGAAGGTGGAGTCAGGGAGACACCATATAGCCGCCGGAGAAGCAAGGTAACAAGTGTTGAGCATCGTGGTAAAATATAAACCAAATGGGTTGATTTAATTGTGAGAGCTAGTCAGAAATATGCCTGAGCTATTGGCCAGACAATTATGATCAATGTTAAGCCTTAGAGTGGTTATTTGGGAGCTGGCGGGCAGGATGAGCAACCTCCATTTACACAGTAGCTTTATAGGAAATCCCCATGTCTGGCAGGGCACACTCTCATCCTTAGTTCTGATTCAGGAGGGTCCCTGTGACATCTTGTTCTGTTTTCCTCTTCCGTATAAGCTCTACTGACTACATACAATTTAGGAAAAATTAGTTTCATAAAGCTGAATTTTCAAATACATCAGAGTAGAGAGACACCATAACCATGCCTCCAAAGGGCTGGCTACAGGTATGCCCGACCACGCCTGTCAGAGTGTGGTCAGGGTGATGTCTGGGTGACGTGGGAAAGGTTTAAAGGGACAGGGAATGCACATGGTAGCTCTCTTCCCCTGCTGTTTTGGCTTGTTCTACTTGCCTGCCCGTTGGCTACCTAATGAATATATACCCTGACCACCATGGGCTACATATTAGTTATTAATCGTAATACATCAGGATTTCTTTCTTTCTCTCTCTCTCTTTCTTTTTTTTTCTTTTGGTTTTTCGAGACAGGGTTTCTCTGTGTAGCTTTGGAGCCTATCCTGGCACTCGCTCTGGAGACCAGGCTGGCCCCGAACTCACAGAGATCCTCCTGCCTCTGCCTCCCGAGTGCTGGGATTAAAGGTGTGCGCCACCACCGCCTGGCTAATTTTTCATTTCTTTAATGTTGTTGGTTTTTTTTTTTTTTTTTTTTTTTTTTTTTTTTTTTTTTTCTGTAGCACAGTGGCTGCACCTGGTCCTAATCACGGCTGCCATGGCTACGCTGCTGAGGTCACGGCCATGGGAGCACAGGATGTGCAGCCACCACCACCTCAGCTCCTGCACATAGGGAGACAAAGGTTGCTTTAACTAAGTCTCTGTTTTTATTTTACCAGTAGAGGCTCTGGAGCTAGAGGCTGGGTGAAAACCTGCTAGCTAGAGAGGCAGAGAAAGCAGCCAGCTGACCTCCTCCTCTGCCCACCTCCTAGAAAGAGCGCTCTCTCAGAGGCCATCTGAAGCAAACTCCTGCAACCTGTTGCCCCTCCCTTCTACTTCCTGGGCCTCTCTCATGCTGACCTCCCGGCTTCCCCTCCCTCTCTCACTGTCTATAGTTACTTCCAGTCAACTGGCTGCTTGCTCTGCCTCATGACCTATAGCTGATTTTATTTAAATAATGCAATCTTTCCGGGTTCGCAGTTTAAATTTTGAAATGGTTATAAATTCACAAGATGCTACATAAACAAAACAGAAAAACATTCAGGAAGCTTCTCCTACTGGCAGTAATTTATGTAATTATGGTTTTGTGTCTAAACTAGAACACTGAGATTGGCACAACCCGCAGACCTTATTCAGATTGTACCGGGTTGCATGTACTCATGGCACCTCTGTGTGTAGCTCTCCCACCTCACAATCAGCAGGGAGAACTGTTTGTTTCAAAACATCCCTGGCCCTGTTCTGCCATATGACACAACTTCTGTCCTTCACTTTCCAGCAAAAAAAAAAAAATCTTAATTTTATCTTTCACTCGATAAACAGTATGTCTCAGAGATTAATTTGTGTTAACAAAACACCCAATTCTGTTTAAATTCTGAAAAGAACTTCATAGTATAGATATGATCGCTATATTTGCTGATCCTTCTGCTAACAGATTGTTAAATTATTTCCAGTTTTTGGTCCACAAAATGGCTCAGCTGACAAAGCGCCTGTCACCGACAATGCAAGCCTAAAGACCTGAGTTTGACCTCTGGGGTCAACATTAAGGTGGAAGGAGAAGACAGGCTCCACAAATCCGACCCTTCACCTACAAATGTGTGCTGCCGTATATACAACCCCCCTACACATATACACAATAGTAACGACAAACTCATTATTTCCCGCTTTTGACTGTTTGAGATCTACCGCAATGAGCACCCTGCCACAGGCTTTGTTGGGAACATCCACATGTGTTTCTCTAGGATAGAAGTTGACTCAAGGGAAAGATCACCTCAGATTTCGGTTTACAAGACCAAATCGTCTTTCCACGTGGGTGTTGCAATGTACAGTTCCAGCAGTGAGGAAGAATTAATGACAACGAATGGCAGGTACACAGAGTTGGGGGGAGACTGTGTCCTTTTGAATAGGATTCTCCAGGTGGATCTCATTGGCCAGATGGGATTTGAGAAGAGGCCCAAGGAGGAGCAGAGACCCATGGTTCCTGGAGGGAAGCATTCCAGATGGAAGGCTCAGCAGGCACAAAGGCTCTGAGGTGGCAGCCTGGTTGTTTGGGGACATGGAGGTCACATTGGGTGGGACAGAAGGAGCGTGTGCTTGGGAGGTAGAGAAGGGAGATGGTGCAGATGGTGACAGGGCCTTGATGCCAGGGTGAGAACCTTGGCTTTTATGCCGAGTGCAAGAGGGAGATGGCAAAGCTCTCAGGATCAATGTGATTCGACCTCAGGTAAAAGATGAAATAATTATCAAGACAAAATTGACACATAATAAAATGCCACTTAAACCACAGTTTGCTTAGTTTGGGGCCAGTTATACCCCTTGTCACTACCACCCTGAAGCAGTCGCTGGCAGCCAGTCCCTGCCTCATCTTTATCTGAGACCAGTTTTTATTATTATTTTTATTTTTGAAGATTTATTTATTTATTATGTATATAGTGTTCTGCCTGCATGCATGCCTGCACACCAGAAGAGAGGGCACCAGATCTCATTAGAGATGGTTGTGAGCCACTATGTGGGTGCTGGGAATCAAACTCAGGGCCTCTGGAAGAGCAGCCAGTGGTCTTAACCTCTGAGCCACCTCTCCAGTCCCCTGAGGCCATTTTTCAAAAAGTTCTTTTTCACTATAACCATAGATCCACCGTGCCCACTCTAAAACATGATAAAAACAGAAGTTTATAGTATATGTCTGGCTTCTCTTGTTCAACATATGGGCTGGGATGCATGGCATGGGTATTTCACAATGACATCATCCCACTTTCCTAGCTGTTGATTGGCCTTTGAGCTGCTTTATCTCCAGACTACAGTGAAAGTGATTTTATTTTTGGGAATCACTACAACATGAGGAAATGTATTAAGGGGTCACAGTTGTGTTGTGGAATGATCTTTTTTGTATACTGTGACAATCTGTCACTCTGATGGGTTTCATAAAAAGCTGAATGGCCAATAGCTAAGCAGGATTTTCAGGGCAGAGAGGATGCTGGGAAGAAGATGGAGACCCCATGAGATGCAGAGCAAGCAGGATGGGCACCACGGAAATGTGGTAATAAAGCCACAGGGCAGAAAGTAAATAAATAGAAATGGGTTAATCTAAGTTATAAAAGCTACTTAGAAACAAGACTAAGCTATCAGCTGATCTTTTATAATTAATAAATCTCCATGTCATTATTTGGGAGCTGGCTGGTGGAACAAGAAAATACACCTGTGAAGTTGAGAACCAAGGTTGAGAACCACTGTCCTAAAGTACAGTTAAAGCTAGTGTTTCCCCATTGATTTCTGTGTGTGGGTGTGTGATGGAGGATGTCCTTCTGTATATATGTGTCTCTTATTGGTTGATGAATAAAACACCGATTGGCCAATAGCCAGGCAGGAAGTATAGGCAGTGCTACTTACGAGAGGAAGGAGGAGAGAGAGAGAGAGAGAGGGAGCCTTGAAGAGACACCATGTAGAGACCAGGAAGATGGGACGTGCTATACGTTCTCTGGTAAGATAAGGCCAGGCAGAAATATGTTAAGGGCCATGGGCCCTAAACTATGGGTTTAAAGCCCATCTTTGTAAGTCCTTTTATGACCTTTAAGTTTTCGGCTTAAAGCCAACTCTGTAATTAGACGGTTCGGCCATACAGAACTGCTAACTGCTTCTGTTCCGAGAAAGGGCCTGGGGCTTTCGCTGTTCCGGGGAAGACCATAAGATGTTCCAGCTGATAAGAAGAATGCTTCGGTCCCAGCATACGCCAGATGTTCCTTCCTGTTATTCCCCGCTTACCCAATTTCCTTGGTGCAGGGCTATATAAGCCCACACTGAGCCCCAATAAATCGAGACCTTGACAATTGCACAGATGGACTCTGGTCCCCTCTTTTGCATGCTTGGTCTCCTTCCCTTCTCTTGCCCATGACTCTTTCAGGCAGCCCCCCTTCGGAACCCTAAATGACTGACCCGAGGGACGGGTCAGAAATACATGGATTAGTAGTTATGGGTTAATAATTAAGAGGGAGCTAGCCAGTAAGAAACCCTAGCCATCAGCAAACAGTTTCATAATTAATATAGCATCCATGTGTTTATTTGGGGCGAATCAGCTGCAGTACCAGGCTGGAAAGAAACTCCAGTTACAGGTGTGCAAGCCAGAAGTTCATGCTATGTAACTTCATCTGTCATCAAACCTAGAGCTCACTGACTCAGTTAAACTGCCTGGCCAGCAAGCCCCAGGGATCCTCTTTGTCTCCACCTCCTCAGTGCGTGGGGATTGCAGATAAACACTGCTGCACCTGGTTTTTAGGTGGGTGCTGGGAAGCCAAACCCATGCCTTTACTGACTGAGCCATCTCTTTATCAGCTGTTGGTCTGCTCACCATTGTAAGTAGAGTAAGCTAGAATGCTGCTGTATTGATTTCTTGTTTTAGGTTCATTATTTGGCTTATGCGTTTAGACCCAGTATTGGAAGCGCTCTTAACCTCTGAGCCAATTCTCCAGCCCCAAGGAAACATATATTTTAACTGGCTCTTTTTTCTAAAATGTAATCTAAGATTTTCAAAACTATGTTTTCTCCTGCAAGCTCTAGAATAGTTTTTTGGTGAGGAGCAAATGACGTCCAGAGGGAATGTGTATTAGCCTTTCCCTGGTTCAAGAAAGAATGTTGACAAATGGCTGACCTTCAGCTAAAACTGGTGTGTGCAAAGGACAGATCGCAGCCCCACCCTGGATGACTACAACCTGAGACTGCGCTCCCTGCAGAGACTTCCTGCTGACTAGCTACCCTGCTTCCTCCTGCTGTGTAGCTGCTGGTGCATGGACCACCTGCCCCGTTCCCTGTTGCCCCAGTTAGGCCAATCCCTAAGTCATGCCGGCCATGGCAGTTTTCACATTTATATTAAGACCAGTAATTCCTTTGGGGGTTTTGTTTGCATATAATATGAATGAAAGGTTCAGGCATTATGCCGGCCTGCCCCTGTTACCTGGTGGAACAGGCTGTACCCTGGTCAGCCCAGGGTTCCATGGGAACTAAGTCTGCACACAGGTGCAGAGGACCCCTTTAAAAAGACAGATCCCTCCCCATTTACTCTCTCTGCTTCCACTCTGCTTCCACTCTCTGTTTCCTCTCTACTCTGTCTCTCTATGGCGACCGGCCATGGAGGTCAGCCATTACCCTGCTCCTCCTCTTCTTAGTCTCCCTACTCTGCTGGGCCTTATAATAAACTTATAGTCACCATGTCTCTTGTCTCAGCATTTCTCTTTTCTTTTTTTTAAACAAAAGAATAACAATTGGCACCTGACTTGGTTTAGGCCCTCTCCATAAGCTCTCACAGCTTGCTGGCAGGATAGGCTTTCTCTCCTGCCATGGGCACCGGAAATTTCGGGGATCCTAAAATCTGAACTCATAACCCACTTCCATCTCGGCTTTTCCTGGCACTTCCTCCTGCCTGCAGCAGACTTCACCTCGCTGCTTTTCCAACTAAGGATCTCTGGAACTCACTCATCTGACTGTTCGCTGCAATCTGGTAAGATACCCATAACTTTTCCCATGGGGCAGACCCAGCACTATTCACTCTGGGTCCATTTTTTGGTTTCGGACTGCTGAGCATCTTTCGGGCTTTCTGCTGGGTGCTCTCAGACAGAGCAATCTGTGCCATTTTTGGCCTTGCCCACGGGAAATACATTTTACGGGATCTTTCGGTTACTGCCAGCGAGTAGGTAAATGAGCAGAGTTCTGCCTCCTGGTGGGAAATTTCTTTCACCTGGGAATGTCCCTCCTATATCTGACCATGTTTCTTCTTCTTGGCAGTGTCTGCTTGAGACGCTCTGAGAGTTTTGTTTGTTTCTTACTGCCTCACTCATGGAGAAAAACTTCTTCTGGCAATTGAGAATATGCTTACGGGGGGCCTCGGGGGCCGCCATTGGCCATGTGCGCTAACCTGGGGGCCACCATCTTGGTCATGTGCCATCCTAGCCAGGTGACCTAGCTTAGGCCTGTCCACTCAGTTCAGTGACTTGCACGGGCAAGCACTGCCATCAGATTTCTTCTTTCACTTGTTGGGTGCATTTCCTGAAGGTCAGGCATGGGATCCCACTCCAGGAGCAGTGCTTTTTTGCTTTTTCAGTTCAGACCGCTGGGTCCATTTTTGGTATCAGGACAGCTGTGTCCCCTTTGGGGCCAGCCCCCCTGGCAACTCCCACGGGCAGATGTGCATCCGGAGAGGAGATTTTTGCCGGTTTTCCACTTGCCTCACCCATGGGAAATGCATAGAGGAACCTTTCTGGTTTCATCCAACAAGCAGGTAAACAGACAAAAGCGGCTTATGGTCCCGACATTTTGGTCATGTGACCTACCTGTAGGCACGCCCAGCTCCAGCGGCCTGTGCCAGCAAACCTGTCTGCCGGATTTTTGATTTCTGCCAGATCTTTTTGCTTATTTTATTCTATTTTTTTCTGTGATTTCTTCTTTCACTAGCTCTGTTGTTCATGGCTTGTTTACTAAATACTGTGCCTTTCCAGGGCCCTCTGTTTAAGTCTACTCTGTCCCTTTAAATCTCCTGGTCTATTTACTACAATGTACGGATAAGAGATTACATTCTAGTTCCCCCTTTACTGTTATCCAGTTCTGCTTGTCTCTGTACCTGTAATTTAACTTTATACTTATCTAGCTCTATATGCAACTGAAATTAAACTGTGCTAAGTCTCATATTTCTAAATTACTATATATCTTAAAATGATGGTGAACATTTAAAATCATAAAGGTCTATTTCAAACTAACAAAATATTTATACCACTCAGTCTATCCTGTAAGCCATTTACAAAGGTACAGCTTTTATTACAAAAAGGGATTTTTCTCTAACTAAAGGCAACTTTTAACTGCTAAGATACTAAACAGACAGCCCTCAAATGCTCAGAGATCTAGAGAATATGGCATTTAAAATGTTTTGTTAAAAAGCTTTTTATAACAGAGCGATAGGCCAGCTGCTGGCCCCACTCCATTTCCTCCAGGAAGACTGATGGGCACTTAAGAAACTTCATCTTGAGTCAGTGACAGTGACAACGCAGGTCACTGAGCAACCCTGCCCTTCACCTCAACTGCTACAAAGTATTCCAGACCGTGGACAAGAGGACAGCGGAATCAACTTTCTCCAAGTTGCTTGGGACAATGGTAGGCGAGTCTTCCTATAGTCTGTAATACACAGGTCACATGCTACAAGCAAGAAGGCAGGTGTCTTGCAGCCGGCTACTATGGATGGAGTACCTTGAGGGTGGCTGTCCATGCAGCCTGCTGGCAAGTCTCTGTTATTCTTTAATCATTGATTC